TAGTGTATATTCTGTTGACGTACCCTATTAAAACACAATCAAAAACACAAAAAACCACATCTAAAATAGTAGAAATAAAAGCAGAGTTCTTTACGGAAAGCCTTAATCCTGTTCATCCCTCCCCAGTGGGGGGAATTTCGACATGTATATTATATAAAAACACATGCGTATTCGACTTGTGTGAAAATTTCAAAGGAATTGGTAGGAACAAACGAACATTACATTTTTATTTATATAGACAGATAGAAGATGATCTGCTTTAGTTCATCCTCACAGAAAAGCAAACTTAGGGCGTCATACTTGTAGTGCCATCTATTGGACATAAAAGCATTAACCCTAGATGATATCTTTTAATTTATATGAATGTTTAACAAAAAATCTGCAGGTTTGATTAGTGGTAAACATTCCGGGGGTCATAAAGATGCTACAGTTAAAATTTGGTAACGATTGGTTCAGTAGTTTTCACGGTTAGTGGTCACAAACGAAAAATACGTTGTCTCTTTATATAGTAGTATAGATGTAAAAATTGTAAATAATAAATAATACATTGTAAATAAAAGTGAAATTTCAAACAATTTGTATGAAAATGTATCCTAACCTGCACAGAAGCTTTCAGTTTTCCTTCCAGAGGTGAAAGTAAATCTAATACACAAATAAATAAACTTTATTTAAATTACAAAGGCTTATAAAGGACTATTTAATTATTATTAAAGTGATAAAATATTTAGTAACTATTTGTCACAATTTAAAACTTACCAGTAATATTAAGAGCAATTAACTGATTATATTTTGAATCTATTCCTGCAACCTTTGTAAGAAAAAAGTTAAAAGTACTCCTTTTGTGTGTAATTTTATCAAATTTTCTTTTTTTAGCTGTTCCACCTTTAAGAGAAATTATTTTTCCATAAATATATCATTTCAAGTTAAAATATGATCAATACTCCACATAATCTGAATAAAATTTCAATGCATAAACTTAATATGATTTAATTATTTTAATTATTTTGATGTTTCTAGATATTAACACCATTATTTTAAAATTACTAAAACAACTATTATTTATTATTACTATGTTATAAACATTATAAATAATATTAAACTTCAAAAGAATCAATGATTACATGAAATGGAATTTATTGTAACAGTCCATAAGTTAAATAACACTAAGTCTACAGCAAATCATGGGTGCTCATGCCAACAACACTATCAGTAAAAATTGAAACCACAAACGAGAATTCTTATTCAGTTATACATTCTGCTATATGTACCTAGCATTTTAAAAGAGATCAGAATCAGTTATTTATTTAGTGATAAGAAGTTCCAATACCATGCAAAATTCATACTTCTAGTGTTGCCAAAATTCAGCAATAAAAATATGGCCTACCAGCACAGATGATTTATTAGGAATTTTTAGCATAATGAACATTATAAAGATTGCAAAAATACATATTATTTGTACAAAAGGCACAATTACAGATATGAATGACACTGTTGGCACCTTAACAGAGCAGTAAACCATATCCATAAAAGCAAAAATGTCAAAGAAACCATGCCTCTACATACAACCCATTGAAAGATATAGCCACCAAATTCAGCCTACTTCCTAATGGGAGTCATGCTGCACACTGCTAAAACTACTGCATTTACTATTTAGCCCATATGACTAAGCCAGTGTTGAGTAGCCCACTGTGGACTACTGTGACTGTGGAATACTTGATATTACAGTAGTACCTCAGGTTACGAATGTCCCAGCATAAGAAATTTTCAGGATACAACATGAAATTCAAACATATTTTTGCTCCACGATACGAACAAAAACTCACCATACAACATTACATTAGTTCGCATTTTTCATTTGTTTTTCTTACTACAGTTATTTTTTTAATGTATTACTTGGCTTTAATTTGAGTATGTTTTTCGCGTTGGAACGAATTATTTGGTTTTACATGTAATCGTATGGGAAAAGATGATCCACCTTACGACATTTTCATGATACGATCTCAGTTTCGGAACGGATTAATTTCGTATCCTGAGGTACCACTGTATATACATTTAGGGAGTGTAGGGGCTTGCTCCCACCAAAGCAAATGAATACATTCCAAGTGTAGAGAAGCAATAGTACTAGTTCAAGGTAAAAACTGTTTTCAGTCAGCAGAAATTAATGTATTTATTATTTATGGTACAGGCACTGGTTATCTGCCTATAACATAAGTTGCTTGCAACATGATGTCTGCAAGCAAGTTGGTGAATAAACTGCATCCATTGTGTTTCCACATTTGCAGGCAAATATTCCATAGAGGATCACATTTTGGACATTTCTTTATTCTTTACAATAAATATCATTAGAACGTCTGATCACTGTACTGGGCCGTCTGTTAAACATACAATAGGCTTAGCAGAGCATGTTCCAATTGTTCCTGGAAGTAGGCTGATTTTGGAGGACTATATTTTGTAGAAGGCCACATGTAGAGGTATGGTACTTTTGACTTTTTTGCTTCTATGGGAATGGTCTACAGCTCTGTTAAGGTTGCAACAGTGTCATTCACATCTGCAATCTTACTGTACTAAATAATAATGTATGACAATCTTGATACTACAGAAAATTTCACATTGTAAATTTTAACCATATTTGCTTTTTCAATAAGTTACATTTAGAAAAAATTTAATTGAATAAGCAACTATAGGAACTGTAGATTTAAAATTGTGTAAGTTAGGTCTCCCTTTTGGCAAATATAATTTATGTGGCTTAAAATCTTTATTTCTAAAATGTAAAAAAGAATACACTTTCACTGCTTTTTTTTGTAATCTATTTAATTTGACACACCTTTTGATAATTTATTTAAAAGAAATTTGAAAAAATTTAAGTCTTCTTTGCCATATGTTCCCTTGCAGTCAGGTCTTATCATATTTAAAATATGGTAAAGCAAAAGTATGCCTTAAATCTATACATATTTTTAGTCAAATTTTATACTATTATTCCAATGCACACAACATTGAAATCTGAAATAATAGTTTAAAATATGGGATTGATTTAAGGCATAAAACTGAATTTAATTGGGTCTTAAGTACAGTATTGGTTTTGGTTTTATTCGATTATGACAACGCAGCACATGGGTGGTCAATCTGCCAGGGGGAATGTCTCCCAGGTGGTCTTTTATGAGAAACTGGCCCCTATTTAGGTGTTACTAACATGAAGAAAACTTGGAAAACTTCACATGGCCAGCTCATTGGTGAGATGCAAACCCATGACCAACTACCAGTATTCAGTGGTTTTATCCACTCAGTCACTGGTAGGCCTTAAGTACAATATTGAATTCCTGAGCTCTGAGTAAAGTGGCCAAATCATGAAACAAAAAGCAGAACTTTTAGGCCAGGTGCTTCGACATGATGTCATATGAGTTGCACAATCGATTCCAGTGTACTATTTCTGACTTACCAACAATTAATCTATAATTAAGCGATTTATTTTTTAATTCAGATAATTAGCAAAAATCATCATTCGCATGACCACATACTGTAAACATTCATCGCTGTCTGTTGAACAGCTGTGACAGACCAAACAATAAATCACCAATTTGGCTACTGTTTCTATAAGTTGAATATTAAAACTTTTATGATTTAATTCACATACAATATTATTCATCTTTGAATTACAATTTATGCAATGAATATTGACATTTTTCAAACAGTTTAAAATTTGGGACAGCATATTAAAAAGCAAAACCATCCTGCCTAATTTCAGACATCTGGTCACTTTATTGGGGTGCAACTCATCACCTCTTCTCACTCGCTCACATCTGCATAGTCACACCTTTAGTGTAGGATTTATGTAATAGCACTATGCATAGCTAAATCTCTACATAAGTAACATTGCAGTAATTTACTAGGAGGGAATATCCTATATATAATAAATGTTAAATGAGGATTCTTTGAAGCAATTTTGCATAAATTAAATCTTTTAAATTTTTTAATATGAACAATTTACTTATAAATAAAAACGGGACAAACTCAGGACATTTTTCCAAGCCGGGATGGTCTCGGTTAATCCGGGACGTCTGGTCACTTTAGCTTTGTGTGTGAAAACTCACCAAAATGCCTGAATTGTTCACGATGTTTTGCATTTTTTCGATAACATTTTTCTCCATATTTACAGAGAGGTCTTTTGTCTACTTCCTTTCTGTTCTCCGTTTTATTTTCATCCTTCTTCGATTTATTCACTTTACGATTACGTTTTTCATCGTCATCAGATGATGATATTTCATGCAGCTTACTAGAATGACTTCGAACTGAATGGATTTTACTAGTATTTAACGATTCTCTCAGTTCATCAGAATCTATCGTTCTATCAGAGTCAGAATCGGACATGATAAAGATTAAATTTGTTATAATGTTACTTCCACTATTATAAAACACTACACGTTGTAAGACGAACAAAATTCAAATCGATCACTTGCGACCTCTATTTAAACATATAATTTATTAGGATTTACTTTGTTTAAAATGTTTATTAATTAAATTCATCTCAGCATAAAATTAATATTTGTATTTAAAGCATACTTTAGTTTAACTTAATATTTAAAATTATAACGATGACGTCTAATAAAGAAGCAGACGATCATAAGGAATCATTCGAGCAAGTAATGTAGGGAAAATTCCCGAAACTAGGGAATTTTAAAGAGTAAAAGAAAAATGGGGGAAAAAATATTATTTAAAACTCTAATAATATTTTATTAGAATTTTTATATTATTTTTATAATATTTCTAAGGAATTTTATACTCTAATAATATTTTTGATTCAGTATACTCACAAATTATGAAACAACGTTTAATGCGAGATTTTTATATATAAGAATAAAGAATCACATTACAGATCATTAATCTTTATATCAAAAAAAAAATAAAACAAACGAAAAAATATTTTCAGATTTAATTTTTTTCTTGCATTTCTAATATTAATGCAACCTGTAAAGATTGCGAGGACAAAATTGACATGTCGACATCGATGCTATGCAGTCTCCGATTAGTGGTCTAGGGAATTTTCTTCCTTAAAAGGGAATTGAGAGTTAACATCGGGGAAATTCAGGTTTGACAGTTTGACTGTTTTGATTCAGTTTAGACTAAATTGAAAGGAAGATCAAAATGAGTTACGTAGATCAAGTAGTGGAAGAAGATTTAACTCAAAACGACGAAGACGAATCGTTTTTTCAAGACGTGGACATTTTACAGAATCATGGAATAAATGTCGCCGATATCAAAAAGCTGAAATCTTCAGGCGTGTGTACAATTAAGGGTATACAGATGAATACAAAGAAGAGATTAACTTCAATTAAAGGATTATCGGAAGCTAAAGTGGAAAAAATAAAAGAAATTGCAAGTAAAATAGGTTCTTCGAATTTCTTAACAGCATTGCAAGTCAGCGAAAATCGAAAGCAAATTTATCGTGTAACCACCGGTAGTCAGGAGTTGGATAAACTTTTAGGAGGAGGAATCGAAAGTATGGCAATTACAGAAGCATTCGGAGAATTTCGAACTGGAAAAACTCAACTATCTCACACTCTATGTGTCACTTGCCAAATTCCAGGCAATAATTATCCAGGAGGAAAAGCGATTTTTATAGATACAGAAAATACTTTTCGCCCAGATCGTCTCCGTGATATAGCCGATCGCTTTAATTTGGATCACGAAGCCGTGTTGGAAAACATTCTCTACACTCGAGCTTTCACCAGCGAACATCAGTATGAAATTCTGGATCACGTGGCTGCAAAATTTCACGAAGAAGGCGGAATCTATCGTCTTCTGATTATAGACTCGATTATGGCACTTTTCCGCGTAGATTATAGTGGCAGAGGAGAATTAGCTGATCGACAACAAAAATTGGCCCAGATGTTATCGAAATTACAGAAAATTTCTGAAGAATATAACGTAGCGATTTTTATTACTAATCAAATGACTGCAGATCCAGGTGCGACTATGTCGTTTCAAGCAGATCCAAAGAAACCTATTGGAGGTCATATTTTGGCTCATGCTTCAACCACGAGAATCAGTTTGAGAAAAGGTAGAGGAGAATTGAGAATTGCTAAAATTTATGACAGCCCTGATATGCCTGAAAACGAAGCAACTTTTGCAATTACTTCAGGCGGAATTTCGGATGCTAAAGAATAATTTTTATAATGTTATTTCATAACATTATAAAAATTACACTCGTAAGTTTAGATATTTAATTCAAAATAATCACTTAATATTCTGTTATACTTTTAAATGTATTAATAATCGATTTTAAAACAATAGAACTGTTTCATTTGTAATTACAATTTTTGTGGTAGATTATTCTTTAAAAAAGTTCAACATTATCTAATCATTTTATGATTCTTTATGTAATATTGTGTGTAATAATTTACTATTTTCAGATGTTACGCCAGTAATTGGATAAATTAAAATTATAGACAGTTAATTTTCTGGTAAATTACGTATTTAATATTATTTAAGAACCTAGTTATTTAATAGAATTGCATCCATAAATACAGAAAAATCTCCGAAATTTTTTTTGCATTTCTCGATGTTTCATGGTGCCATCCATGAGTCTAAAAATGTAAAAATTTTGCGGTCATTTTTTTCCCGAGCCCCATACTTTCCCTCTGTTATACATAACAGCATAATTCGTAAAAAATAACTACTGTATACTGTAGATCATTATTTGAAGCTACTTTGCGGATGAACATTCCTGTTGAGATTTTTCTAGTTTAATTTTGTGATCTGCTGAGTTAAAAAACAGTTGTTGAGTTAAATTGCGTTAAATGAAAATTTTTTATCTTCGGCTTAATATTATCAACCGGTTTTATTATCAAAAGTCGCAAGTCCCAATTGACCATAATAAACGGATTCCATCCACTGTATAAAAATTTTACTGCGTTTATAATTACTGGAAAAAATACACAAACAACAACAGTACTATTGTTAATACAGAAAAAAATTAAATTTATCTGTTCGAACTTCAAAACGCTGTTTTTAAAAATTTTTACGATGGAAAATTTGGTTTATTGGACCATCCTCAATAGAATCGTCGTGTACAGTACGTGTCAATAAAAGATCTTTATTAATTACAGTCGACCCCCTATAACACTGTTGGTAATTCCGTTTTATATGAATTCCATGTTATACGAGTTATTTAGATTTTACAAATACGTGTGCTCGGCTGTGAACGGCACACGTATTTGTAAAATCTAAATAACTCGTATAACATGCAATTTGTATAAAACGGAATTACCAACAGTGTTATAGGGGGGGTCGACTGTATTCAAATATTTTTTTAATTTTTGAGTTAGCCCCTTTGGGTTTTTCTGGATCCACTATTGCTTTGACAGAATTGTGACGTTTGCAAGAATAAATGGTTGACATCAAGTCTTACGCATGAATAGGAACATTTGTCCGGAAGCCTGTGGGTGTGAAGTGAACCACGAAATTCGAATACAATAGCCTAATGTATGGTCATTAGAGAGGTTGCGGCCGACGTTTTCAACTCGAAAACGTGTACGTCGGACGTTCAGCGCTGCCTTCCTGTGAGTATAGAAGTTTGACAATGGTGTTTGGAATGTCGAGCATGATTCCACTGACTATCCAAACGCCATTGTCGAACTTCTATACTCACAGGAAGGCGGCACTGAACGTCTGACGTACACGTTTTTACGTTGAAAACATTGGTCAAACCTTTCTAATATGTAAAAGGTGTCCTTGAACTTTATCTTTTTCACTTGTCAGGAATTTTGAGTTTTTGTTGAAGTACAAATCCATTGACTTACAAATATTAATTATTAATTCAGAAAGTATCGGTTAATAAAATTTTTAATACCTTTAATCTATTACTATAAAATATATCTTGTATTTGTCATCTATCTATAATTTATTTTAATCTATGATTGTGATATATTTTTAGATATATTATTTAAATATATATCCAAATTATTTATTTTATTTAAATAAAAATGAACAGAATACCTTAAAGTCTTGAAAAAAATAAGTGCTTTAAACTTAAGAAGTAATATTTTTATAATAAACATATATAATTTTAATTATAAAAATTACAGTTTGTTCTATTTATATGTTTAAAATGTATCATTTTGATTCCATAAGTTTGGTTTAGAAAATATGTAAAATTTATGTAATTTTAATTGAAATATAATAATAATTATGGTAACTTATTAATAGAGAACTGCTTGATTTTGCAAAAGAAAATGATGTTGAAATGAAGAAGATAGCAGAAAGGTTAGTTTATATAATTATGTTTTAATATTTTATTTAATTATAGAAGAATCTGCTTATTGTGATCATGGATATTATCATCAATTGTCTAATATTATCAAACTGACGTGGTCTAAAGCAATGTTTTTCAACCTGCGGGTCACAAAGCCTTACACGGGGGATCGCGGGTAAAAGAAAAAGACAAGTGTTTGTAGGTCCTACACAACAATAAAAAAAAACCTACAATTTCAGGTAGAAGGCTGTACCTGTTTATTTTACAGTATAATTGGTTTTTTAATTGATAATTAGGTCTCAACAGAAAGAAAATTAAATACAGTACGTAGTTTTTAAAATCACTGTTATAGTTTTAATATGGTCTTGGGGGGTTGCCAGAAGTTTCTAACTTGTAAAGGGGTCGCGTATTCAAGAAGGTTGAAAAACACTGGTCTAAAGCATAAAAGTTAAAGTACATTTATAGAATTTAATGCTATCAAGCTTATATATTGGCTTCTAGTTTGAGGACTTATCACATCTTTTGGGGAATGTTTTCAATTGGACACAGCGGGACATTTTTGGGCTATTCTATTGATATTTTATTAAATATGCATTTCGGACAGTTCTGTTCCTCTTCATTTTAAACTACGTACTTTTTGGGTTACGAGTTCTTTTACAGTTATATTATGTTTTTTTAAAAAGAAAAACTACAATAATAATATATCTATATATACAGATATGTTTTGTTACATTGTATAAAAATATACATTTTTGATGGGAATACGTCTTTAAATTTGCTTCCGTAGTGTTAGGCAATTCAGAAAACTGATGATAACAAAATCAGGGGATAGAGTTTGGCATTGCAGCTATGNTCATTAGAGAGGTTGCGGCCGACGTTTTCAACTCGAAAATGCGTACGTCGGACGTTCAGCGCTGCCTTCCTGTGAGTATAGAAGTTTGACAATGGTGTTTGGAATGTCGAGCATGATTCCACTGACTATCCAAACGCCATTGTCGAACTTCTATACTCACAGGAAGGCGGCGCTGAACGTCCGAAGTACACGTTTTCGCGTTGAAAACGTCGGCCGCAACCTCTCTATTATGGAGCGGAAGTAGGGATTAGGCTACGTCCTACGTGGCAACGACCAGCGACCGCGAGCGTGAACGCGCTTCCAAGCAGAGGGGGCAAACTGGTTCAAGCAAATGTGCTCGTCCGGAGTAACCGTGTTTAGCGTGTAGCGACCACCAGATAACGCTTCTACACGTACAGTAAAGTATGTGCAAGAAGCAGCTACCAAGTCAGTTTGATCGTCGCTTCCAGTGCTCGCGCTTCCAACGAAGAAAATGGCTGATTTTGTAGATGAATGAAAACAGAATGACAAATAAATTGTGTATATATGTTGTATGTACTTTAAGGGACGGCTGTATCAATGCAAGGGATGCTGATGGTTTAGCTTCGGCATGGAAGAAGTTCTTTGTAAAAGAAAAGTTAAAACACACAAATTCTTAGTTCATTCTGCCTTTATAATGTGATGCTTTTTGATATAAATATTTTAATGAATTTAGGTCAGAGAAATCCCCAAGTATTTTTCAGCGAGTGATCCGTTCGGATATGTCGGGCCCCGGCCCTCACCACCCGATTGCCCCATTGTGGACCTGGCCGAACCCGTAATGGGTCTACTATAAGAGGCCCTCCTAGTGCTAACAGGTTGGAAAGAGTTAAAAAAAAAACACAGTATCATTTTTTTCGGTTTCTTATTCTTGTTGAACAAGCGCTACTGGGCTTTTTATTTTTTATTTTATTTTTTAAACTCTTTCCGCCCTGCGAAAAGAAGCACTAAGAGGGCCTCTTTTCGCAAGTCCATTGTGGGTTCGGCCAGCTTATAAAGGGACAGCCGGATGGTGAGGGACGGGGCCGACATATCCGGACAGACCACTTCTCGAAAAATTCCTGGGGATTTATCGACCCGTCCGGACACGAACCATGGTCCCCCAGAGCGGTAGGTTGCCTCCTTGTACTCGGCCATACAGTCGTCAAGCGCTATTGGGCTATAGCGCTTCGTAGTGATGTGTTCCAGAAAGCAGTCTTGGTACTACTAGTAGTTGCAGCCTGTTTTGTATTCGTTAAAATATGTGTCAAGGTCTTCAAAAAGATATCGCTAGGTTGTAATTTCAGGCAATCATTTTGTGGAAATTATTGCTTTTTAGTCTCTCTTGTTGATGTGAGTTCTGCCGTTTTGAGCCCTGGTGACATTCCTCAGCTTTCCTTCAGAAAGGTCTCTTTTTTTTTAAAAGAGATTAGACTTTTGAAATAATTTCTTTTGGAATGCATAATGGATTTTTCAAGTCGCGGTGCATTTAAAGACAACTAGAGAAATAAAAATGTTTTATTAATATAAATGAATAAAAAAATACAATAAATGCGAATTAATATAAAAGCAAGTAACAGTGAAAGATCGGAACAAAATTACAGACTACTCAAGGCCGCGGGACAGGAAGTCAAAATCAGAATTGTTCCAACCAAATTGGGATTTAGGAATTTATAAGAGAAGTAAAACTTAAAAATATAGCAATTTTATAAATGTTCAAATCTGAGAAAAATTTGCAAGAAATCAGTTTATTACAAAATAATCAAGTAGTAATTTTTTTTGTTTTTGTCCAAATAATAATGCCATTTTATCATGTGTTATATTTTTCTTTCATTCTTCTGTTCACGTGTACTTCCAGTAAGAGCAACTACGATCATGCGTTTGGGAAGTCATTTGTTTGATTTTCTATCACTCAAAAAGATATATTCTATAAATAATATTCTTAACTTTCCAAAAAAACAGATAATAATAAAATATTTGTTACAATCGCATAATAATAGAATAGTATATATTTAGTTTTGTTTCTAACAGTTTACGATATCATTATTTTATTAAAACAGATTATTTGATTAAAACTGATGATATTACTTAAATATTATTTATAGGATTGTATAAAATATAATTCACAATTTTATATTATAAATAATAAATTTATAA